GAGAGAGAGAGAGAGAGAGAGAGAGAGAGAGAGAGAGAGAGAGAGAAAGAGAGTTAGTTACCAGGTACTGGTAATGCACACCTTTAATCCCAAGATTCAGGAGACCAGCCTGGTCTACAAAGTGAGTTCCCGGGTAGCCAGGGCTGTTATAGAGAAACTGTGTCTTGAAAAACATGGGAGGAGGGAGGAGTAGAAGAAAAGAGGGGGGGTATGACTGGCTGTCCTGGTGGCCACAGTCCTCTAGGTTGTGATGTGCTGGAGACATTATAGGTGTGTGTGTGTGTAGGAGGACACTTCTCCATTTTAGAAGCACCCATGCTCTTTTTAATACATAATTTATTTCTACTTTATGTACATTGGGGTTTTACCTGCATGTATGTATTGTGAGGGTGGAACTGGAGTTACAGATAGTTGAGAACCACCATGTGGGTCCTCTGGGAGAACATCCAGTGCTCCTAACCACTGAGCTGTCTTTCCAGCCCCACATCCATGCCCTTGTCCGACCGTTCCTGCCCTTTGGGGTTCTGGAAGTGTGAGATTCCCTTCCCTACCCCTTTAGCTCCATTTCTCTCCTATTCTCCTCTCATGCTTCCTGCCAGCTGCCTTGGAGGTGTGTCTGTTTCCCTGTCCCACATCAGAGACTGAGCTCTAAGGACACGAAGGCCCAGACACGGAAAGAAGGGAGACCTGTAGAAAAATTCAGGACAGTTGTTGATGGAAAAATGTCAATCTCAGTCCTTCGCCGGGAGCCATTTACTCCACCATGAAAATGGAATCCTGAAATAAAGCAATGAGTTCACAATACTGTGTGGGCTTTCTTTCTGAACTCACCTTTCTGAAACTTGTTCTTCAGCTGTCAGTCGGACACTGGGTTTTAACAAAGGTGGAGAGGGGCGGAGTGGAGCATTTAAGGAGCCTGTGCAAAGTGCCTCATAGTAGATGTGCATAGAGAACAAGAGGACCCTGAGCTGGAAGGGCAGAGCAAGGGCTTGTGGTTGGAACTCTGAGGGTGACTTTCCCTCGAGTGGTCATAGGGAGAGGTATAAATCTCAGTCAAAGGCAATCAAACCCTCAGCCTGCCTTGCTGAGCAAATCTGCCTCAGCTCCCCTGGCTCAAGCCAGCCCTCTCAAAGCCCACATGGGCAGTGATCTTTTAACAGCTACCCGTCGCTGGCTGCTGGCAGACAACTCTGCCCACACCTGTTTATCAGCCCAGCCTGGGCCTCTGCGCTCTAACTGACCACTCCACCTGTCTTCCCGGATCTAGCTGTCCTGACACCCTCCCCGACCCCACCACCGGGCAAAACTGAAAATGTATGACCAGACGGAGCGCTCTGGTTTAGAAATTGGTGGACTGGAGCGGCAAGCAGTGTGTGCCCGCGTTCCGCACTAAGAGTTCTGCTAGTTCTTCCAAAAGTTCTCTGGATCTGCGGTTTAAAGAAGACTCAGATGAGACATCAAGCATCGCACTCGTAGCGGCCGGGCAGCCAGGGTTTCGGGCCTGGGCTTGCTGACGCGCTTTTAAGCAAGGTAAAGCCCCCACCGCAGCTTAGCTTAGTTTAGCTTCCTCCAACTCGACCAGAAATGAGATTTGCCTTCGACCAGACTACGCCGGGCCTGACATCTGTCGTGACAGGCACCGGAGCCCGCCGGGGCCGGGGCCGGGGCCGGAAGTGAGGTCAGCGGCGCGCGGCGGTCGCGGCCCGATCTCATTGGTCCGGAGCAGCGCAGTGGGTGGGATGGTCGTTGGTCTCGGTGCGCCGCGGGCCAGGTGCTCTTAGAATTCCGCGCTTTCGCCGGAGTTGCCGGCGCCCGGGAGTTGAGTTGCACGCCGAGGGGCTGCACCGCTGGTCCGGGTAGGTGGTGGCGGGGGTGCCGGGCTGTGGTGTCGGCTTCTTGGGAGGGGAGTGCGGAACCCACCGCCCTGCGTCCGGGTTTCGAGACTCAGATACCTCTTACATGGGCTCGCTAGCCCTAACCTACCAACGGCCGGCCGCTACTACTGGCTCTTCTAAACAAGTTCAGAGAGGCTTGCAGAGTCTAGGGACGCGTGGGACAGAAGCGAGGTTTCGAGGCCGAATAGTAGAGTTACAGTAAAGAAACCCAGACCTGTCCCCACAGTCCGCTTCTTTCTTTCCTTTCCTCACGTTTGTCCTGCTCGAGTTATCTTAGTTTGTCTGGTAAATTTCTGTTTACCTAAGTTTTGCTGTGGCCTGATTCAGGTTCCCTAGGGTCCTGGAACGTGAAGCGGGAGGTGGAGGGTCATGAATGAATGATCTTAGAGTTCTTCTCTAGACTTTAGCTGTCCCATCTAGGAAGTCAGGGCAGAGGTTCTAACGGCCTCTGACTGAGCAATTCAAACTCGGTTGAGGCCGGGTGTGGCCAGCTTTGATATCAGGTGCCCTTTCCTTATTTAGAGACAAGAGACACTGAACTGAGAGGTGGACTTTTTGGCTCAGTGTAGGAACAACTGTGAGGCTTTGGACAGGCCTTTCAGTCGTTCATTCATTCGTTTATTTTTATCCCCCAAATGGAAACATTAGTAAAACCGGGTATCTGAGTATGACGCCTCCCTTGACTTTCGTCTTCCACCTATTATTCTATCCATTTTGGAGTTTTAGACACGAGCTCACCATGTACCCTAGAAAAGCCTCCAACTTAAGGAAGTTCTCCTGCCTCAGCCTCCCAAGTGATAGGCTTAAAGTCATGAGCCACTACTCCTGGCCCCCACTTACCAATGTTAGACCTGATCAGCTTCTTCTCGTGATTTTCTTTTTTAAATTGTGTATGTGTTCATGTGTGGACACTTCTGTGTGTGTGCATGTCGAGGCCAGAGGCCAATATCAAATATCTTCCTTAATTGTCCTCTACCCTATTTGTTGAGACAGTGTCTGTCACTGAACCTGGGGCTCCTAGATTCAGCCAGACTAGTTGAGTCCCAGGGGTTGTTCTGTCTCCAGCTCTAGACCACAAACATGCACTGTGCCCAGTGTGTACGTAGACGCTAGGGATTGAACTCAAAACTTCATGGTTCCAACTTTACCAATCGAATCATCTCCCTAGCCCTGTCTTTTTTTTTTTTTTAAGTATATTTGCTTGTATGTTTGTTCTGATGTTGGAAGAAGTTGAAGAAGGAAGGAACCCACACAAGTTTTACATATTTTTTCACTGCCTGAGAGTTCCTGGTTGGTACCCTCCTAGGAGGCTAGGGCAGGGAACTAGAGGAGTGCTGTTGACCAGCCCCTTCCTCCAGACATAGTACATCATCCAGACCTGCCTCTCTGCATCAGAAAGAGACCTCCTAAGTCCTGCTTTACAAGTAGAGAGCTGGGACAATTGCCCATTTATAAAGGCAGATGTTCTCACACTCCATCCTAGAGCTCTGGCCTCAGTTGCCCCATCCATTATTGGAAGCATTGCCAAGTCCCTCTTTCTGTCTTTCTCCTGCAGTCCTATAAACCTGTACTGTGTGTGTGCTAGTCACTAGTCCTGGCTAGATCTTAAGGGCTTCCCAAAGCTGAATTCTTTTTTTTTTTAAATATTTATTATTTATACAATATTCTGTCTG